CATATCAGAGTCGTTCTCCTCGAGTCTTTCTGGAAACTTGTTGAAGGTGAGTGAGGGTAGGTAGTGCAGTAGAACTAGCGCAAAAGGCTGAGCTAGGCGGTGTTTCTGGCCTGCATTGGAGAAAGCGGCTTACACTTGATTCTGGCTTAGTCATCTCGACTCTGTCTTGTCACCGGTTCAAGCGGGCAGAGGGGTTAGAGTGTGGTAGATGGCTGCTCGTCTAATTTTCGTTACAGTCACCATTCCTGCTCTTGGGCATATGGTGGACATAACTGAAATCGATAGTCGAACTATCAGATAGCCTATTTAATTAAAGGTCAAGCGAAATTCTGCAGAGCTTCCGATTCAAACACACTACCCAAGCAGGGTTATAACATTGTGTAGCGTGCAACTTAACATCAAGATAGTTCAGTCACCTTAGGGCGCTGGCTTTTGAACGACCTTCCTTCTGACAATCTACAAAAAGCATGTCCTGTAAAGAAAACGGCTACTTAAGTAGCATACATTTTACTCGCTATCCTTATGTATTTCAATATATTTTACGGAAAACATTCACAAAAATAATGTTTGTTGTACTTACTTAGTAGAAACTTACTCCTTTAAATGCTATACTTCAAGAAACGATATCTTTGATTTTTAAAAACTTCCTCGTTTGGCAATTAATTTTAATCCTTATCGGTCGTTGAAATTGCACTCAAGGTTTCCAAACTACATGCTGTATACATTATATTTTATGAAGATTACAAATTTATCTATGCCACGAGGAGGAGGAGGAGGAGGAGGTCACATAGTTCTCACAAAATGCAGCAACGAATACGGATGATGTTGTACATTTTATAGGTAACATTAAAAGATAGACGGATACGATGTACAATGGAATCTCGGGTGAGAAGCAGCCCAATCTACGAGCATTACATATAACGACCAAGCCACTAGCAGAAAAATTGTTTCGATTGACGAGCTTCCGCTCATGTAATGCGTTGTTATTGCGTGTACGCGTGTATGTGTGCCTCGTTAAGTCTTGCTCCCAGGACGTGGACCCTCGATCCCTGCAGACAATCAACGAAATACTACAGTTTGATTGGCTACGTTTCCGAAGACGAGCATTTCATATGATGAGGTCGGTGCGGGAACGGATTGAATTCGTTAACTGAGGTTCCACTGTATGATGCTTGAGCATAGAACGGTCTTAAAACCCTTTTAAAATCGAAAAATATCCTTTCCTGAAGTAATTTTGTACTAAACGAGCTAGTGGTTCAATGGTTAGGAGCTTAGACTCTGGTTAAAAGGTCGCGATTTCGAGGCTCGGGTGAATCTAGGTAGGACTGGCTGACGACGGCTAATAAGCCCGAAATGGCTTTCCCAGTCTCCCTTGTCTTTGCCAGTCATACTACCTACTTGAGGAAGTTGTTTAACATCGAAAACACAGTGCAGCATTCCGGCTGGTATTTCCGAAGATAGGGAATCTACTGTAAATTAGCTTTTAAAAAACACTCAATTGTTGATGGCCTCAGGAGGGGGCGGGGCCTCCGGCCTCTGAATGCCGGAAGTTCTGTCTGTCAAAAGCCGTGCAATTACCAGAATTTTGCTTAGCCGGGCAAAATCTGCCCTCTCCTGTTTGTAGAACTCGGCCAATTGAGCGCAGACCCTGATCGCCTCCTCCCAATCCCCGCCGGACTGGAGGAAGTCCAGA